GGCCCGGCCCGCCTCACCGTGGTCCTGGTTGAAGCCGGCGTAGAGCAGCCCGTTGCCGTGGGGGTTACACGGGAGGAGGTTCATGACGCCGCCGCGGTGTCCGCGCTCCTCAGCGCCGCATGCCGCTCGGGAGACCGGGCCCTCTGGTCCCGTCGGGCCGGCGCTAAGGCCGCCGCGGCCGGAAGTGCTGAGCCTGCGTGCGTGCGTGCGTGCGTGCGCGTGCTGCCAGGGAGCCCGCAGAGCGCCGAGCGCATCCGACCGGGGCAGGGCGACGAGGGAGCGCCGAGCGCGCCCGCGCCTGCGGGAACCGAGTGAGGAGCGCGTCCTGCGCGGGCCGGGGCGCCGGCTGCCCGGTGCGGCCCTTCCTGCCCGCGGGTGGGCTGCACCGTCGGAGCACCGGCCGGCACTGCAGCCGGCGTGTCCGGGGGCCGGGCCGTGTGCGTGCAGTGACTCGATTCCCGTGCGACGGCAGCTGCGGCTTCTCCCGAGGGTGACCGCGAGGAGGCGGAGCTGGACGGGCCGCCTCGCCCGCGATCGTGCGACAGGGGCCCGGGCTCGAATGACGGCGGGGACGGGACCCCGGACCGCTAAGCGCAGTCCACAGACCAGCACCCCGCTCCCCGGGGGCCTCGGCGTCGCACGCGGGGCGGGCCCGGACTGCCGAGTCACACGAGGGAAGTGGAGGCTGGCGAGGGGCTTTCCCTGGACTTCTCGGCCACCCTTGGGGCACGCGGTTCGTATTTCACTCAGTGCCCGGGGTGTGAGGACCTCCACGCACCATGTCGGTTGTGTCAGAGCCCAGACGTCCAAAGCTGTGCTGCCCACGGTGGTGGGCCGAATGGTGGCTCCCGAGAGTTACGTCCACCCAGACCCTGTGAATATGACCTCATTTAGAAACAGTCTTTGCAGATGTAATTAAGGATCTCGAGATGAGATCATCCTGGATTAGGCTGGGCCCTAAACCCAGTGACCAGCGTCCTTAGACCAGAAGGAAAGGGGAGAGGATGCACAGGGGAAGGTGGAACTCCACAATCTATGGTGGGGATACATACATGTAAAGAAAGCCCAGGGTGTGGTTTACACAGAATTGGAGACGGTGGTTACTCCTGGGGGCAGGAGAATAATCTAACAGGGGACGGGCACGTGTGGTCAACTGAATAGCAACCCCCAACAAGGCCCTTCAGCTGGGGAGAGGAACCTGGACCATCTGGGTTGGCCCTAAACTCCTGGCCTCAAGTGATCCTCCCATCTCAGCCTCCCAAAGCGCTGGGGTTACAGGCATGAGCCACTACGCCTGGCCTCTGGAACCTTTAAATATAGTATTAGTTTATTTCGGAAAAAGAGTATCTGCAGATATGGCGAAGTGAAGGATTTGAGACATGGAGATTGTCCTGGATTATCCAGACTGCCCTGAATGCGACACATGTATCTTGATAAGAGGAGGCAGAGGGAGATTGACACACGGGAAGAACACCCCGTGATGACCGAGACAGATTGGAGCAATGCAGCCACAGCCACCGAACGCCTGGAGTCCCCTGAAGCTGAAAGAAACAGGAAGGAAGGATCCTCCTCCCCAAAAGCTCCCTGATTTCAGCCCAGTGATACTGACTTTGGCCTTGCGACTTCCGGAACTGTGATAGAGTACGATTCTGTTGTTTGAGGCCACTAAGGTGTGGTAATGTGTTACAGCAGCCACAGGGAACCAAAGCAACACGCAGGGGGCTCTGTGGGTTCTACTTCCTACTCCTGCTTCTTAAACTGCTGCATCATGGGTACACAGGTATTTATATTCATAACAGTATTATTATACGTGAGGCTGGTCCGAAGGTAGTGAGTTATCTCACTTGATTGTTCACAGTCAGTTACAGATTGAACTCCTAGTTCTACTGCTTCCCCCCCTCCTCACTACTGCACTTGACTAGTCTTAAAAAAAATAAAGATACATGTTATGTGAACTCTGTTATATGTATAATGATACGTTTCACAGAAAAAACAGAGAACCTTGAAAAAGAGCCACCATCCAATATCCCCATTTCTGAAGTGGAACACAGAACATTGACAAGATTTCAGGGCACAGGATCAAGAAACCAACAGATAGGCCGGGCGCAGTGGCTCACGCCTGTAATCCCAGCTCAAGTCTGACAAAAGGCTGGGACGAGGCCCGCGGGAGTCATGAGCCAGGAACTACGACGGGAGCCTACAGAGATACGTCGACACCACAGGCCACCGCTGGTTTTCCAACACAGACCCTTCACAGCAAAAGAATATGCACAATGGTTAGTCCAGCCCACGGCACGGTACGAGCGTCTCCCAGGGCGAGGCCCCTCAGGTGTGCACGCTTCCGTTCGACCCTGGCAGGTTCCAAAAGCAGAGCGGTCTCAGCACACGTGGGGCTTCATCCGTTCGGGCGTCTGGCATAATTGAGCCATGTCATCTCTTGCTCAGCCTCTTCTGAGGTGTTAATGTAATATCGGGGTCCCCTCAATTCGCAACCGTTTCCTTTTTTCTTTACCCTCAGCTGTTATTCCTCCTTTTCTCCATATGTCATTTATTTTTACCCAGACTTTCCATCGTGGATTTCCACCACATCCACTGCTCAGTTTTGCACAACCCACCTCCATCAGACCCTTAGAAACTGACATCAGGTTTGAAAACATAGTGACAGTTTCTTGCCCAGGAATTACCCTGCTTCTCGCAACCGGTCCAGGTGCCAGGACCACTGCATCGGCAAGGGGAGAAAGATTACGGTCCTCCCACCTCGGCCTCCCAGAGTGCTGGATGACAGGCGTGCACCAACACAGCCGGCTAATTTTTTTATTTTCTGTAGAGATCAGGTCTCAGTATGTTGCCCAGGCTGGTCTCAAAGTCCTGGCCTCAAGCGATCCTCCTGCCTCAGCCTCCCTCTGGGACCACAGGCGTGAGCCGCCGCGCCTGGCCAAGACCTTTGTATTAACTCTACCAAATTCCACTGTCTTCTTTCCATTCCTTAATAACCATCTGAAGGTCCCCACCCTGCTGAGAGGAGCCCTCTGACTCTCCTCTTTTTCCTCTTAGTGTTTTCTTTCTTTACTTTATTTCTCAATAACCACTTAAAAATCTCCACCTTCCTGGGATGAGCCCTTTGACTCTCCCTTTTGCCTTTTCCCCATTCTCTTGTTAATTCTCCTGCTTTTTAAAAATAATTTTTGTTTTGTTTTAGAGACAGGGTCTTGCTATGTTGCCCAGGCTGGTCTTAAACTCCTGGCCTCCAGTGTTCCTCCCACCTCAGCCTCTGAAAGTGCTGGGATTACGGGCCTGAGCCACCGCACCGAGCCAACCTGGTGTTTTTATTAGTGTCTGTAAGACCTGTGAGGGGAAATTGTGAGAGCAAATTCGATAAGGCTTCTCTGTGGCCGGACTTAGCAGCAGTGTCGTCACAGGGGCGCCCGTGGAGAGGGGCCCCTTAACCACAGCTTTACCACGACCTAGGTGATGGGCATATTCGGGTAGTGGGCAGACACCCCAGTCATCCTACAGCCAGTCCCCGCTGCTGCATTTGGGGTGCTCCACTTGGCGTCTGTGGGGAAGCCGGGCAGCCCCTTCTCAGGGCAAACGGACCTCACAGTTCATTCAGGAATAGCCTCCTGTGCGCCTGGACCGCACATGCCCATCTGCGATTGCTCCACGGCGAGCGGTGGGTCCCGCATCAGCCCAACACGCCCTTCCACTCTGCAGCATTGAAAACCAAAGACACTGCCCTAAATTCATTGTAATCCACTTTAGTAAAGGTTCCTCCGGAAGCTGGAGCTGCCAATCACGAAAGGGAACCGTTCCCTCCCGCTGTTCCCTCTCGTTCCAGTGGTCCTTGGCTTCGCCCTGCCCCACACTGGCTACTTCCTTGGTGACCATGGGTCGCCCTGCTCATTTTGCCCATGGGGGTGGCTGGGAGGCCAAAGCTCAGACTCACAGAAACCCGAGCTTGGTCCAGCACCAAGATCTGACCCAGATTCTCCTCTGATTTCATTTTAGCTGTTACAGGTAACAATAACCAAGGAGTTGACATTTTGTTTTTTCTTACTAGTTTGCATTTCCTTATGCGTCCAGTGCACCGACTCCCAGGAGTTGGATCCATCTCTAAATTCCACTGGTAACTGTCACCTCCAGTCACTGAGCACAGCACGGCCAGCCCTGTCCCGTGGGTGGTCAAGTGGCCACCCAGGGATCAATCCCTCCTCCCCACCCTGTCCTTTCTCTTCCCAAACCACATTTTCCTGAGCCAGGGCTGTTCTAGCAAACCCCGCCGCAGCCACCACTTGCTCTGGACACATCTCAAGTGTGCTTTCCTCTGCGCCCCACAACAGCCCACGAGGAAGAATATTCCGTGACCAAAGGCGGGCTTTTCCCCACATACCGAGCAGCGCACAAACACCCGCTGGATGTCGGCTAATCCAAGTCTACACTGGAGATGGGGTCAGACCCCACGGGCTGGGGCTCAGTCCCCAAAGCTGCCCCCTCGGGAACTGGCTGGCGGCTTCCAGTCGAGGCTCCACAGCCGCTCCTTGGGTTCACTACTTGCCGGAGCAGCTCACAGAACCCAGGGAAACACGTTTGCCGTGTGTCACGAAGGCTGCTGCAAAGGTACAAAGACGTGGGGAGGGTGAGGTGTGGGGAGGGGAGTGGCGCTTCCACGCCCTCCAGGGACCTCCAGGTGTCCAGGAAGCTCTGGGACCATAGTTTTAAAAGCCGAAACTTTGTTGGCGGGAGCCAGCGTATTTTGAGAAGAAAGGTGTGTGGGGGGAAGGGGACCGCCAGGACGGGGTCGGCCTCTGCCCCGGGGTGCCCGCCGCCCGCTGCGCTGGGCCTGCTCCCAACCCCAACCCGACCTCCACCGCGGGAGTCCAGCTGCAGCCGCTGCCGTTCTGAGACTGGGCTCGGCGTCATCCAAACTCCGCTCGACCAGTCCCCGCGACAGCCCCTTGGCAGAGGCTGGGCCCAGAGAGAGCACAAACGCCATGGTCCGAACGTGTCCCTCCAAAACTCCTACATGGAAACTCCGGGGCCAGTGTGACAGCACTGAAAGCTGGGGCCTTTGCCCAGGGCCATCCCACCCTGAACACGCCCAGGCTCGTCTGAGCGCTGGGGCCTTAGGCAGTGATAAGTCAGGGGAGACCCCACGGAGGGGCCCTTCCACCCCTTCCGCCACAGGGGGACACGTCTGGGAAGCAGAGACCCTGTGCTCACCAGACCCTGCCCGCAGCAACTTGATCCTGGCTCTCCCAGCCTCTAGAGCCCTGAGCGATGAATTTCTACTGTTCGCACATTGCCCGGCTCGGGAACTTCACCCCAGCAGCAGGAGGGGGCTCAGGACCTCCCCTCCAGCCCCCAGTCCCACGCCTGCCCCAGCCTCCAGCTGGAGTGAGGGAGCCGCACCTAACACTGGGACACCCCCCACCCCTAACAGCCAGGACACCCCCACCCTAACACTGGGACACCCCCACCCTAATACTGGGTCACCCCCACCCTAACACTGGGACACCCCCACCCTAAGAGCTGGGTCACCCCATCTCCATCACAGCTGGGACACCCCTCCCGTCCTCGGCCTTCCCAGGTGACATGAAACCTGGTCTCAGTCCCCCTGGTACAAGCAGCTTCAGTTTTGCTTCCAAAATGCATCTTTAATTTGACGAAGCTGTTCTCCAGCGAAGGGAGACGCCAGCATTTCTGTCTCTTCGTCAAAAACAAGTATCGTGAAGCCTGTAATTGGCATTTTTTATAAATTCAATATTCGCCTAAATTCCTCATCAAAGTTGCGAGTTCTCTAGGAAATTAAGCTGCCTCGCAGGAGTTTCCACAGGACAATTAAAGACACGGTTGTGCGGTAGGTTCTGCCGCGCGGTAAAGGTCGTGGAGGAAAATGACAAAGCGTCTCTAGGTCGACGTGCACGTCGGTTACACGGCCTGCGCGTTCGCCCAGACACACCCCCTCTGCTCGCACGTGGCGCGTGAGCTCGTTCTGCCTCACAGAAACGCCCCGTGATTTGCCGCAGCACTTTCTGCTGTGAAGTGCAACGTGTTTCCTTGTCGTGGTGGTTTCTGGGGCTGCGTAACAAATTGCCATGAACTTGGTGGCTTAGAATGACAGACGTTTCCTTTCTCACAGTCCTGGACGCCAGAGGCCGAGGTTGGCACCCCGCGGCTGCTCCCTCCGGAGAATCCTTCCCACCCCTCCCGCTCCGGCTGTCCCCAGGGGGCACCGGGCTCTCCCAGGTGTGCGGGTCACAGGGCTTGGGGACCTTGATTTTATTCCTTCTAGACGCTGGTGGTAGTCCTGAGGAGTCCTTCAGTTAAGAAGCAAGAAAGAAGGGGAAGGTAACAGAGGTAGCTGTCTGGCGGGTCTAATCTCGCCCCCGGGGGTCGCTGGGGCTGCTCTCAAAAGGGGAGCAGGAGAGGGTCTTCCTTTCCCTTGGGGCCCTCCTCATGGCTCCACGTCCGCAAACGCGGCAGAGATGCCCTCCCCGAGCTGCCCTGAGCTTCCCGTCCCCACCACGTGGCTGGCAGCCGGCCACGTCCCCCACGCATCTCTCTACCCGTGGCCCAGCCGAGGGGGGAGCAAAGGCCCCAGCGGCTCGTCCTCGAAGGCCGGCTGCCCCTGGCAGAGAGCTGTGCCCTCAGGGGTGACCTTCATCCACCCACACACCCGGGAGGCCGCGTGCCCAGCCTGGCTCCAGGCCCTAGTGACAGCGCTGCTCCCCTCTGGGCCTGGCCGTCCTCTGAGCCAAGGGGCCACTCCTGACCCCAGGGCACCTTCGTCTCTAAGAACCCGTAACTCACTAACAGACACTGAGGACATCTGGGCACTTTCTCATTTCAAGATTTTTTCGTTTCATCCTCATCATAACTTCCAGTTGCCACAGAGAAACGTGGAACGGTGCGATCAGGAGAGAGACCCACGCCCGGGGTCTCTGCCACGTCGGCGCCGCCCTGGCGCTACCTGAGGAGGATTTCGCCCTCCCGGGTGGCTGCCGACCTCCCCACTGTGGAGGTCCAGGTGCCTCCCTGACACCTCGCCACACAGGCACAGGCCCGAGCATCACCGTTAACACGCCTCCCTCTGCCTCCACGGCTCTTTCCAGGAAAAGGCGTCTTTGCCGACCAGCGCCGCGTGGCGTCCACACCAGGCCCCACAAAGCGAGTCGAGTTGGGGGCCGTGAGAACTACACAGAATCAGAAAGAACCAGCCCACTGCTCCGCCAAGAGAGAAACCAGTGTACGTTTTATTTTTGAGAAACATTTTCCTAAGTGTGTTTACTTCATTCTTCACTGAAACGGGTCTGTCCTCGCGGGTCTGTGGAAACGATGTTGGCTGCGTTCAACGTAACTGGAGATATCTTTGGCATTTTCTTCCCTTAACTTCATAACTTGTAGAACATCTGGTACAAAAAAATGTAGATTTACAGAAAAATATGTATATAAATCACTTATTAATCCCCAAATGTAGTAAATGACATAGCAAAACTTTATCAAATCCGTTTCACACACAAACTGGACAGATGTGCTACGCAATCTCCATGTGCATCCTCAGTGGTTATAAACCGGTGCTTAGACATTAAAAAGGAGGTTTACAAAAAGAACCCTCTTGTGATATCGATGACTCTAAATTATCTATCATTGCTTCTCAAATTCCCAAAATCTATGCTTACCATTTGCATATCACCGTTCTTACAAAAGCAGTTATTTTAAGGAAAAAGTTGCAGTGCAATCATGATATAAGCAACGTTCAAAATCTCACGTTATCAAGGGCTGAGCAGAGTACCAATTTTCCCTTTATAAACACACGTCTAGAACACGAGCTTCATGCACGTCCACGTAGAAATTCAAAATGTTTTCATCGCACGGAAGGCACCACACGCATTCCCAAGCAGCCCCGTCACCGGGAGACATTGAAACCTTGTTTCGTGGATCTGGAACGCGTCACCGTCTTCCGGGTGTGACTGTTCAGAGTTTCCCTGGAGGGATTCCAGTGTGTTTCCTTCCAGCGCCTTCCTTAAGAAATTTTGCAGCTGTTTCTGGTGCAGTTTTTGGGTGGACTCTGGGGTGGGCGGACGACCTTCCCCTTGCGGAAGCTGTTCCGTTTGTGGGTGGCGCTGGCGGCGAGGGAGGAGGAGCGGCCGTGCATCATCCTGGCGCTGAGGCCGTTGGCCATGCAGAACGACTTGAGGTGGCTCCGTAAGGCGGGCGGCAGCGGCAGCGTGTCGACCAGGTGCGCGGGCGTGCACGACACCACCGCGCGGCAGCAGAGGTCTTGCAAGCTCAGCACTTGGGGAAGAAAAGACCAGGCTTAGCGCAGCTTGTCCCTGCGTGGGCTGCCACAGGGGGTGGCGCGCACACCTGGCTTCCCTCCTTGCGGGGACGCGGGGACGCCTGTTACACATGCAGCGAACCCTGCTCGACTCCACCTCTGCCCGAGTGCAGATCTCAGAAATCCCCCTCGTGAGCTTTCTGGCAAAGCTGCACGTTCAGAAACGTGTTTTATTTCTCTCAGTGGCCTTGGGACGCGTCCTGGGGGGCGGACAATTGTCCGGGGGCTGCGAGACCGCCCTGCGCCCAGGGGGGCAGCCGCGGGCCTACCTTTGCTGGGCCTCCAGAGCCGGTCCATTCCGTGCCGCAGCAGCACGATCCTGGCCAGCTCCGTGAAGGACTCCGTGATGTTGAAGTTGCAGAGCGGGCTGACCTCGAAGAAGGTCACGCCCAGGCGCTCCGCGTAGGCCTGGGCCTGCTCCGTGGGCACCTGCCGCTTGAACGCCAGGTGGAGGCGATTCCCCACCAGGATTTTAGGGACCCCAGGGGCGTGCTGCAGGCGAGAGAAAGGCAAGGAAAACGCGTCACTCGGGCAAGACTTTCTCCTGGCGTCACTCGGGCGAGACTTTCTCCTGGCGTTGCGGGGGCACCGGGTTGACTGGTGTTCCCCCAGAGTCAGCTCCACGCGGAGCCTCAGACCAGGGTCTTATGGGACAGCAGGCGTGGAGGGGGCGTGACGGGCTCTGGAGACCCCCACGGGGCTGGGGGTTGGAAGAACCTGCAGGGCATGATGGACGCCCCATGGTGACGGGACCACGGCCCAGACGCTGCCACTGTCCCTCAGCTTGTGCCCCCTAAATCTACTAAAATAAAGTAAAATAATATGATTTTAAAAATAAATTTAAAAAAGAATGAGATCTCATTTGGAAATACGGTCTTCACAGATGCAATTAGTTGAGGGGGGTCACACTGGGTTAGGAGGGTCCCCAATCTGATGCCTGGTGTCCTCATCAGGAGAGACACGGAGACACACGGGGAGGCCAAGGGAGGACGGGGCAGAGGCTGCAGTGACGCAGCCACAGGCCAAGGACCGCCAAGGACCGCCGGCAGCACCGGCAGCTGGGGGGGCAACGAGCACCCCCCCAAGAGCCCTGGCGGGAGGCGGCCCGGCCAGTACCTGGGTTTGGACTTCTTGGCCTCTGTAACTGCGGGAATAAATTCCTGTCGTTTCAAGACCCCAGTCTGTGGTCATTTGTCACAGCAGCCGCAGGACACCGATACTGTGGGCTTGTACTGACCGCCACAGCAAGCTGCAGACCCGTCACCACCCATCAACCCCAGCCCCGACCGAGGGCGCAGCCAGGGTGCCTCCCGGGCCTCCTGCACATCGAGCCCAGATCCCTGGGCTCCGGGGGTTCTCTGCGGTCACACTCGCGGGCCCACCCCAGCCAGTGCTGTGCCGTGCGGGACGCGTCCTCCTTGTGCCCAAGCCCCTGCCTTGTGCCTGGCCCACGTGCGCCCGGGAGCCCCGGCGGGCCTGGCCGAGTCCCCAGCCGACGTCTTCCTGAGCCCACGTGGAGCTGGGCAGCAGCGGCGGAGCGTCGTACCTCGTCAATCTCCTTAATCCATCGGGTGATGCCATCAAAAGACCAGCGGTTTGCAATATCGTAGACCAGGATCACGCCCTGTGGGGAGAGGACACAGACTCAACACGTGGCACACAGACGTGCCACTGGCATGCGGCTATTCGGTCAGAGACACACAGTTAACGAAATAATCATTTTACTCCTTTTAACACTAAGTATGTAATTTTGATTTATCAGCCAAATGTGCAGTTTTATGTCAGGGGGAGGCGGGGCCTAGACTCACAGCCGTGAGCCACTCCAGGGACAGAGAAAGCAGGGACACTGCAGGAATCACCACCTCATGCGAAGCAAGGCCCACCTACCCGCGTGGAGTGTACACACAGGTGCACACACATGCAGTTCATATGTGCATGTGCACACACAGGTATAGACATGTGCCTACCTGCATGCCCACAGAGCTCACATGCACACATGCGTGTACACATGCACTCACACACGTATGCAGTCGCTCATGCACAGACACATGCATACGTAGTGACATATCTGTGCATGTGTTTCATACATGCACACACATGCACACATGCATCCCTGATGCGAAAGGCTTTCGAGCAAAGAAACACTACAGCTGCAGTCCCCAACCCCTGGGCCGAGGACCGGTCTGTGGCCTGCTAGGGACCAGGCCGCACAGCAGGAGGCGAGCGACAGGGAAGCGTCATATATACAGCTGCTCCCGTCACTCGCGTGGGCGCAGGAATTCCGCCTCCTGCCAGATCAGCAGCGGCATTAGATGCTCACAGGAGCATGAACCCTGCTGTAAACCGCGCATACGAGGGATCGAGGTTGCGGCTCCTTATGAGAGTCTAAGGCCCGATGAAGGGAGGAGGAGCTGAGGCACTGATGCCGGCGCCGGGGAGCAGCGCAAACACGGATGACCCTCAGCAGGGAGGTCTGCACAGTGAACGAGATGCGCTTCATTCACCCGAACCATCCCCTCCACCGGGTCTGTGGAAAAATTGTCTTCCAGGAAACCAGTCCCTGGTGCCACAAAGGGTGGGGACCGCTGCTCTACAGCACATTTTTAGACTCTGGCATCGATTTATATGTAAGCTTAATTGCCTATCCTCCAATTATCCGTTAAAGAGGATGGTTAGTTAAGCACCGTAAAAGTTGTTATTCAACATCTGCATGATCTCCTGGCTCCGGGGATGCTGTTACCTGTGCACCCCGAGAGTAGGAGCGGAATATGGTACAAAATCTTCCCTGACCCGACGTATCCCTGGAAAAGATGTTGGAGACGTTGAGAAGAAATCGGTGCTTCTTCCTGACAACGGCAAATGCATTTCACAATCGTCCGTGACCCCAGCAAAGCTGTCACGTGTCCCTGGGAGTGACACGGGTGTTGCTGGGATGTCCTTCCAGGCTCATTCTCTTTACTTTTTTCCCCTTTCTTTTTTTGTTTAGAGACGGGGTCTCTCACTCCGTCACCCAGGCTGGAGTGTAGTGGCATCATTACAGCTCACTGCAGCCTCCAACTCCTGGGCTCAGGTGATCCTCCTGCCTCAGCCTCCCAAGTAGCTGGGACTACAGGTGCCACCACCACAACCAGCTAATTTTTCTCCTTTTATGTAGAGACCGAGTCTCACTATGTTGTCCAGGCTGGTCTTCAACTCCTGGGCTTAAGTGATCCTCCTGCCTTGGCCTCCCGGAGCCCTGGGATTACAAGCGTGAGCCACCATTCCCAGCCTCATTCTCTTTTCTCATTGTCATTTAAAAAGTCAAACTACAGGCCCTCATCTTCCAGGTCAGGACTGTCACCAGCCACAGGTGACACGTAACAGAAACGAAAGTGTGCCATGTCCTGCTGCCCAGACCTGCAGACGAGCCTCGTGTGTGGGGGCCAGCCCACGGGCCCCCTGGGGGCACCCGTTGAAGTGGGCGTGTTAATTGTACACAGGAATGTGTACTGACTTTGCCCTTAGGAGAGACTGTGGGGACAGTGCCCACTGTCTAAGAGCACACGCCCCCAGGACTCCATGGTGGTTGGGGGAGCACCTTCGCTATCCCGGGTTCTGTCTCCCGGAGCTCTGTTCTGGTCTTTCTGGGCACTGGCACCCCTGCCTGTGCCGTCGTCTGCAGAAATAAGGCTCCTGAGTAGCCTGGGACAACCCTGGCAGATTCAGGAGGCGAGGGGGTGGGGACCGGGAGAGGCCCCGCTTTGGGCGTGGGGAGGACCATGTCCCCAGATCCAAGAGGGAGGATGACCATGCAAAGAGGTCAGTGGGGACAGCCGGCGGCTGTTGCCATACAGGAGGGGCCTCGAGGTCCTGCAGGTACGCAGGGCGAGAGGGAGGAAAGTGTCCACTCTGGGGTCTGGCCGGTGCGGCCTGGGGTCACGCAGGTGTTTGTGACTATGGGCACCCCGGACCCCAGGCAGCACTGGGCGAGAGGTGAGCCCATTCTGGCTGTCATGTGGGCGTCTAGGGAGGGTACCCGGAGCAGCCGGCAGGTGCAGCCTCTGAGGTCAGGGGTACGCGTGGGCAGGGTGGGGCCTGCAGATGGCTTTTACACCAGGACTGGGTGGTTGGGGGCAGGACAGAAGGGACTTGAGAATAATGTGTCCTGGGAGGGGGAGGAGGGCAGGGGCTGACAGTGACCCTGGGGCCACACCGACAGAGTTGGGCAGCAGGAAGGGCCCGCGGGGGCGGGGAGGGGGGGCAGGAGACTGGCCCCAGTGGTCGGGGAAAGACCCAGCCCTGGGCCTAGTCACAGCAGGAGCCCTGACCCCCCGCCCAGGGCAGAGGAGGGGCAGGACCAGAACCTCAGAGCCAGGAGACCCAGCCCAGAGCCTGGGGGTGGGGGGTGCCCAGCAGGCCTCCTCCCCAACCTGCAGGTGAGGCCGCAGCCCCTCCCACACCAGGATGCTCTGAGTTCCTGCTGGGTGCTCAGCGCCCAGCCGGCCCCCTCGGCCACACAGCACCAGTCCCCTCCTAGCCCAGGAGGCATCTTCCCGGGCACCAGGTCATGTGTCCTGAACCCACAAAGCCTGTTACCCACACAGTGCTGTGTTGGTCCTGGGGTCCCCATCCCTAGACGATGGGCCTATGGGCCCCAGGGGGTCACCGCCTTCCTTCGGGGAGGCCACCAGCTAAAGCTGGTCCTACGGGGCAAAGGGCCCGAGGGGTGCTGTGCCATCCAGGGCCAGGCTGGGGGCTCCTCCTCTGCCCAGCGAGTCCTTCCCGGAGCCGAGGACGGGACGCCAGACTCACCAGAGCTGCAGCTTCACCCGCCGGCCGTCGAGCAGGATGGTGGTGGTCTTGTAGTCGATCCCTGAGGAAGGGCAGAGACAAGCTAAATGTGGGTGCAAAGGGTTTCCCCTAAGTTCTCTCCATTCAGAGATGCGGGAGGATAAGAAACCTGCCACGTCTGGGGAGAAAAGGGTTTCTCATGGCGCAGACTCGAGTTCACAAGGCGGGTGGGCGGGGCCTGCTGTGCCTCCCGGAACTCGGCCGCCGCCCACCACCGGGGGAGCCTCCAGCCACGCCCTCCTCTCGCCAGGGGCAGCGGGTTTGCTGGGGGCAGTGCCAGTGGGTGTGTCCCGTCCGCCCAGCCCTGCCCGGCTCTGGCCGCCCCGAGGCTGCCCGCGAGAAAGCTTCCGCTCAGCTCTTCTTGCAGACAGCAGGTCTGGAAACAGGGAGATCGTTCTCCCAAAGTAGCACAGTGGGAAAGTAAAGTAAAACCACAAAGGGTATGAAGTCAGAAAGGAAGTACGCTCCCAGCCGTGTAACACGTGTGTGAACCTGCACGTGTGTGTGTGGGGAGAAAGCCATGAGGAGTGGCCCCATGCGC